ATGTCCAGTATCCAACTGAAACCTATTTTCTTTTTCACATAATTTGTACACCATTTACAAATTATTTCCTCACATTAAATTTCCAATAATCATCCAAAACATATTGTTACAAAAACTCTGACTCTACCAATTTATGTAACAACATTTGCTTCTTTTTTAAACAAAAATCACCCATATAAAAGTAATTATTTATGTATAGATATATATATATGTATCTTATTTTTCTTTATTTACATTGCAAGACCCAAATTTATTCCTGCTAATTAAAATCCCCAAAATTCAAATATTAAGTAATCTTTTCTGTCCTGCATATCATTAGGTCCTGAATTTTCCTCTGACGGAAGACCTTTACCTCCATTCAAAGAGTCTTAAGGCTTAAAATAATCACCAATAAAACCTATTCCCAAAATACCTGACACCAAATTGTCAGGTAATAGATATTTGACCATATCTAATGGTAGCTGACACAAAAACTGACACAATAAAGAGTTAGCTGACACGAGATAACAATATCTGTTACGCCCCCCTCCAGGTCTTATGTTGGTGTAACTTATTTTAATTAAATGCAATCCTGCCACCTAGTACCCTTACATACTTTCAATCTTATTATTATTTACTTAACACTTAATCTACCCTACTTCTAAATTCATAAAAATTTACATCTACAGTTCCCCAATATAAAGATATAAATTAAAAATTTTAATACAAATATTAAAATGAACAACTATAGCTCCCCTATAATGTATGAATTAAAATTATTTAAATACTCATTCAAAAATGAAAATACATAAACCTCAAACACTTTGCCCCGTATACTCATATACTTCCACAATTAACATACCATTTTTCTTCCATAAAATCCATAGTACATTGCGTATATACGATTAAACATAAAATATTAAAATATTATTTATTTACCTGTTTACCCCGCATTAACCCATACCCTCGGATCCTGGTTCACGGTCAACAACTATAAAAAAACATTCCCTTACCTCTCCACCTCCTTATCTTACTTACTTTCAAACCTTCCGGAAAAGAATATTTGATTTGCACTACTTTATTTTCTGAATATTACCAGATGATTTTACCGAATACAAAACAAAAGAAAATCCAAGACAATGATAATTAATAATTGCTCCACGAGCAATATATGTATAAACATTTCATATATAATATTATAAATATATGTATGAATACAAATAACGTTGAAAATAACTGACATCTCCTATATATAAATATATATATATATATATGTATGACTACATATAATGTAGAAGTTAACAGACATCTAGTATCTAAAATTATATATATGCGTAATTGTAAAAGTACAAAACACAACAATTAATTTATAATTATAATAAGTCAAAAGCTTTCAAATTGTATGTTGAATATTTAAAAATACAGTTACTTAGATCTGGGAAATTAATTTTTGGAAGGAGGGGGGTGGCTATGTACAAATTTATATTTTCTGAAGACAAAAGTTAATTTCATTAAAAAAATTATTTTTATAGGGGAGGCCAGGGATAATGTATTCCCGGGACAGGTATTTCCTTTTCAAAAAATTTAAAAACTAATAAACTTTGAGATTTGAAATTTAGGCCAAATATGTATTTTAATAAGTGCTTAAGTAGGACTAAAAATATTTCGGACAAAATTGCTCATGAAAAATTTTAAATGCAAATTTAAATTTCAACATACCAAAAGTAACTTTCTGAAATTTTACATTTTCACTAATAACTTTTTTTATAAAAATTATTCAGACGTAAAAATAATTCTAAATGATAATAAAATCACCCTTTAATCATATATAAAAATATTGACTATATTTGTGTTGATTAAATATTTTCAAATTTATAATTAATTGTGAAGACCTAAGACAGGTTTTGGCAGGGTACGCATTGATCATTTTTGTAAAGATTATTTTGAATAAAAAAAATAACTAAATTTATAAAAACATTAGAAACCACTAGTTTGTCTGGGGCCACGAATGACAATTTGAATATGATTGACTTATTTTTTGTAAATTATATGAAAGTTTTAAGTGAAATTTCTTCCGGGTGATATAGATGAACAATGAAAAGAATGATAAGCTTAAGATGGAAAATCCTATGAGTTTGGGAAATATAGGTATATAAATTTAACATATTTGACAATTTATTTTTTATACATTTACTAAAATTCATATTTTTATATAAAAATTTTTTTAAAATCAATGAAACGCTATAAACATGAAAGGATAATAGATACCCCGGGCTTAAATTTCCATATTTTTTATTTCATAATTATTAAAAACTAAAAGATTATTTTCTTAAATATTAATTTCTACAGTAGAGATATATGAAAAAAATAAAACTATGTTTAAACATTTTGGAAAAATTGTTTCGTCTAATTTTTATAGTACTTCAATTTTTTAAGGACAATACAACCCTGGCCTAAATCGAATAACCTTCACAATATGAATAAAATTTAACTTAAATTTAATTTACCCTAAAAGGCTAATCATAATTTTCGGATGAATGATTTTTATGCTGTTATTTATATACAAGTTACTTTTACATTAATTTTCACTTTTATATTTTTAAGAAATGTCATTTAACATTAAAATGCCTTGTATCGTTGTTATAATCATATTTGCGACTACCGTAAAATAAAATCACATCAAATATTCTGGTTCTACAAGCTAATCTCTTGTATCAGTTATAATCATATTTGCGACTACCATAAAATAAAAACACTATCGAATATTCTGGTTCTACAAGCTAAATGTTTAGTATTTATTCTAATGTGAACTCTGATGGTAGCTCTTCTAACCTTTGGTAATGTTTACCATAGGTTATTACTAAGAAATGTCATTCCGCTTTGATTCCAAAATAGAGTTCATAATGGCTTAGATTATAAATTTTATTCATTTATTGAATTACTACACTATCAGAAAAGAAAACATGTTTGATAAATAATTTTGATTTAAGAAAACTATTCATTTTAGTTTAAAATTTTAAAAATTTGGTCCATAATTAAATAAAATAGCATTTCATTTTTCTCTTTTAGTCTTTATTAATTAAAAAAAAGATTTTACCAAGCATTCGACAACTCTTTTAATCGGAAGTATGAAATTTTCTAATAATATCTATAATATAGTCACTAAAAACACTCTCTGCCTTTATAATATTTGGAATGGAGAAAACACCTTTTTCCTTAACCAATAGCTATCCTTGCCATGAATATAGTCGTAGAAAATTCTCCTTGTTTCTAGATTCCAAGAATTTGGTAAACGGTCAATATCTTGAGAATGTCATAACTGTTGGATTTTTAAATCAATATTTTTTATATAAAATGTCAATCATTTTAAGATAACATTTTTTTTCTCTAGATATTTTTTATGATTATTAAATTTTTTCAAGACTATTGTAGAAAAATAATTGAATTTTTCAAAGATGATTGTTAATTATTATTAATTTTTTTTGGAAATTTTTTAAAAAGATTATAAAATATATTATTGAATTTTCTTAAGATTATTGTAATAAAAAGAATTATAAAACATATTTTTTTAAATTTTGATGATCTTAATTTTTGCTTTATAAATAAGAATTTTTTAATAATAAAGATTTACTGAGTTATTATTTAGTTGTCTTTGTAAGTTTTTTGATTGATTTTTGCAAGTTCTTATATTTTTCATAAGCTCATTGATTTTTGTAAGTTCCCTCATTCGGGTTATTTTGATTTTTTTTGGTAAGTTTTTCGTATTTTTGAAAGAGAATATGTTTAAAATTTATTTTTTGATTACTTAATAATTTCATATTCATTCTTAATATTAACCCTTCTGGCAAAATTTTCTAAACGTCTTTTTTAATTTTTTCGTAGATTTTCAATTTTTTATAATATAGGATATCTCTAATCGCTTAAGCGTTTCTTCTTAATTGATATATCGCCCATTAATGGTGATGAATCATAAATATGTTCAAGGGTAGGATCACTAATATGTGAAATATAGATGTTGTTAAAATGTGATACTGGTTAAAGCATGCAATTTTGTCAAAGCATATTTTATCGTTAGTGAATTCTGGTTAATCATTCATGGAAGTACATTTCTTAGGCCTTTGCAAAAGTATATTTTTATCAAAATTGAATGGATTGTAACTCTAAAAAAATAAAAAAAATACCAATTTTAAGGAGTAAGTATATTACATAAATCAAGAATAGCCACCCCGCCCCCATCCCCCACTATTAATTTTTTATTTAAATACATAAAATATTTTGGCTTAAATTTATTATTAATGATTTATTAAATAAATATTTATTACAAATTTTTACAATTAACTAATGATTAAAATGCCATATTTTCTAAGACTGTGCTCGGCCGAGAAATAAAAAATGCTGATGTGATTTTATGATCATTTCTGGGTTTTTAACATCTAAATTATTTTACCAATATTTAACATTATATAACACTATATAAAGAAATTTAAATGACATCTAACTCAATTACCAAAGATATTTAAAATTAAAGGGAGTACATTTTACCCAAAATTTCTCATTTTTTCGACTTTTAGAGGCCCGTATCTTAGCCGCTGTTTGAAGTTGGAGGCTAAAAAAAAATTTTTTCTTAGTTATAATATATGCAAACTAATAAAAAATTTCGAAAGGAGTCGGGTTGAAACTCGTCTTCGTGGGAGAAAAAAATGAGAGACAACACATCAAAAAATTACTCCCCTGCCCCTCAAAATATTTTTTACTCCATAAACCCTAGTTGTAGTACCAACATAAAATAGGAATATGAGCTTAAAACATGTATAAGGTATTAATTATATTTGTTTATATCTTATGTTTTATTATATGTTGATGCTTTTCTACAATTCAGTTTTCTAAAAAAAATCAATGATTTTGATAGCTCTAGCTTTTTGATTTGAAATTCAAGAGTATAAAAACAAATCTTGATATTACATAAGATTTATTATATATTTATCAAATATAGTTTATTCATAAAAATTTTATAAAATATAATAAAATTATGTCATAAACTTAATAACATAATAAACATAGAAAATATTAATGGCTGGCAATTCATTTATATTCCACTTGAAGAATGAGAAAATTGATCCAAGGTATCTAAAAACCTTTATATAAATTATATATGTATACTAATATAAATTATAAATCAAAAGATTGATGAAATATGAAATTATATTTTATATTGATTGATGAACTATCAAACTAATTAAGATTGTATTTAATTTACGGTTCCTAATTTAACATTGATTTGCCTTATCTTTGTAACATAATACCAGCGTTTGTTTCATTATATTATTATTGCATATTATGAAGCGAATAATATTTTAAAAAATTTAAATCATACATTAATAGTTTAATTTGTTTTAAGTTAAGTTGACCGAATAATGTTCAGTGTTTGATGTGCCTTTAGTTAAATTTTTCTCTTTTTTTTCTAGATGGAATTCCTGCCGATGTTAAGGAAATTTAGAATATTTGTTAAAGATTGTTATAATATTAAAAATTTGATCTCAAAAGATTTTTTTAATTGATTAAACTAATTATTTAATCATTTTTTCAAGGTCTATATAGAGACTCAAGAAAAGCTTATCATTTGTAAATACATTGTAAAATTGAAATATTGTTATTTAAAATTAATTTCGATATTGAAATTTTTTCAATAATAGAATAAATTTTAAAGTGTTAAATAAATTGAGCTTAAAATAATTAAAAATCAATGTTCTAAATTACAAAAATAAAATTTTTTTTTATGGAAATGGAAAAATCGTATTATATTCTTTTTTCAAATAAACAGGGTTTTTTTGGATCATTTAAAAAAAAATCGTATTGTGGTATCGGCGCATATCTGCTATATTTATATATAATTATCTATATAGAATTTTAAAATTAGTTTTTATAGAGAAAAAAGTTGATAATATAGGTTTAAAGAATATTGTGTGCTATAGGTTTCGATTCTAATAATATTAGTTGTTAATATACAACCTCCCAAATCAATATGATTATGATATGATATGATTATGCATTTGACTTGGTACAGATACATAAAGTAAGTAATTCTTTATTCGATTCGCTTTGAATCGTATTTTACGAATATGAATAGTAAAATTTTGATTCAAAAATTCAAATAGAATTTTAATCCTGAAATTCCTATTCGACAATTCAAATTGAATATGAATAATGAAAATATTATTGAATTCGGGTTCATTAATTTGAAATTGTTTGGTTAGGCATTTTGAGACCATAAATTAAACAGAGACCAATATATGCAACTAATTGAACCTGGGGTAATTGGACCAAGGGAGGGTTCGCCCCTCTTAGAAAGTCGATTTCGATCAAGTTCCTGAACCCTGAAAAATAATATTCTTTTTTATTATTCGATAAAAATGTTCTAAATTTATCGAATTAAAAATCACTGTTATTAAAAATATAAAATAATTTAAAATCATTCATAAATATTTGAAAGATTCAACATGTTCCTCATTTTTTTATATTCAATAAACCATTTTTTCTAGGGATACACCGATATTTTTTATCGGATCGGGCCGATATTCATCCATTTTAAAATATCGGTTATCGGCCAATATTATAAAATTTCCCAATCCGATTTGATATAAAATGGCGTCTTTAACAAAAATAAAATGTTATAAAATTTTTAAAAAGATTTATATCTAAAATCTTTTATTTTTATAAATAAAATCGAAATCCATTAATAATATTAATAAACATTCTGCCATATTGTTATTTTTTTGCGCATTCTGTTTATAAAAATGTGCGATAATCTCTTCAGAATCAGTTTTTAGTGAAGCTGGTGATATTGACAGTTACCATCACCGCAGGCTGACCTCTGATAAATTGGAAATTTTGGTATTTCTAAAAAGAAATCTTCGATATATTAATGTTAAATATTATTTTAAATATTTATTTCAAATTTCATATATATTTGTTTATTACTTATTATGTATATAAATTAATGTGTTACTTATTATATAAAAGTGATTTAACAATAAAAATATTTTATTGAATTGAATATAAACTATAACTGATCATTATAATATATTTAAATGACATAAGTTATGGTATAGTTAAATTATAGATGTTTATTAAAAATTAAAACCAATGGTATCTTTACAGAATACAAAATTAGATATGATATCGGATCGGTAATCGGTCGATATCAATTTAATATTGGGGATCGGCCTCCAAAAAGTGGTATCATACACCCCTAATTTTTTCACTTTTGAAAATATTTTAAAATTTTTAATTTTCGAATCGAATAATGGTTATTATTTATACGAATACGAATAAGTATTTATTCGATTACTATTTTAGTGATTCCTAAATGCAAAAGGTAAAAATGACAAGGTGAATATGGAATGTTTAAGTTAGCTAGACGAATTTTTCCATGTCTAATTATAAAAATTAATAATATTTGATACTTACATTTGACTATTCAAAATATTTGTGCCTCCTATTAACACTTGCATAGCTTGTGGTCCAGAATTGTTATTTTTATTGAACATGTATGTTGCTAATATCTCTTCATATGTCAAACCGCCAACAATATATATTACAATGTCGCTAAACCTATTGAGTATTTTTAGATTGATAAACATATTTATTTTTTACTTTTCATTTTTAATAGATCCAAAATATGGATATAAATTTTCTTTTAATTTTATTTTGAGAATTTGATCTAATAATTCTTCAATCAATGTCTTGTGTTGTGTGTAAATATTTTCGATTCCCTTATTTAACATATTTGGTTGTTTACATTCCGATGTAAAATTAAATTATATTAAATAATCGAATCTTAGTCCATAATATCAAGAATCAGGATAAGTATTAAAATTGAAATATATTTTTCGATATTTGGGAAATCTCTTAAAATGTTTTTTTTTAATTTGCAAAAATCAATGAAAATTAAATTTCATTTTAAAGGGCAATTAGTATTGTTAAACAGCTCGTTTTGAGCAGGTTTTTTAAAACGTCTAACTCAATATTTTAGCCAGAAAATATTGCCTTAGCCTCGAGATTTCGATAACGTCTAGACCTTTGTTCCTTCTATGAGCAAATTCAGCCTTGCGTAATATCTTTTTGGATGAAATATTGAGTTAGCCGTTTTTAAATATCGGCTTTAAACGAGCTGTTTAACAACACTAAGGGCAATTAAAATATCCATGGCTAGCCTCTCAAGAAAAATATTTGATGAAATATATCGTTAAATTTGCCGATGTAGGTGTCTTAATTCCTTAAAAACGATAGGGCGAGCTTACTGAAAGTGGCCAGGGTGGTGGAAAAAATAGGAATGAATATATAGTCATCCAAAATTTCTGAATATTTTCTCCCTTTTCCCAAGGAAATTGAGGGTTTGGTTGAAGGAAGCTAATGGGTAGATACAATGGTCCCTCTTCCAAGGGATCTGAGGGCGTTTGGGCAGTTGAAAAGGGTATTTGAGCAGAAGGTACTTAGTATGATTAGGGTGAATTTAAATCATTTATTTTAAAAAAAATTTCAAAGATCAGTATGGGTCCTGGTTAATCTGACGCCCTACGCAAAAAATGCACACACTAATAGGCCCTCCCTTTGCAAAGATAATTTTCTAAAAAAAATTGTTTAGTAGTATTTATCAATAAATCAGCCTCGTAATTTGAATTTTATCTTTTAAGTCGCATTTTCGATAGAAATCATTGCCAATGACGATACCGCTCATACCGCATAAATGATCTCAAATAACTTTTCATTTGCTTTAATTTAGAAGGCCATCTTTAATTTGTAAACAATCAAAGAGGGATATTTAATCTTATTGCAACGTTTGGGAATAGATTTTAATATAACTGGTATTTGAATCTATGACATCTGAAAAAATTACTAATTCACCAGCAAGATCATTGGCCACACTGCCCTTCTCACATTTTTTGGCATTACTTATTTCGCATTAATTTCTTAATTCAAATATTGTGAATTCTAAATTTTCTTTGAAATCAATATTTTTCTTTGAGATATAAAGTTTTATTTTTCGAGTTGTAGAGCATTTTGGACATTTTGACTAGTCAATATAGATATCAATATAATCAGTTAATTTTTGTAATGTTTTTTTTGGTGAATTTGATTTAATTTGCTTATGAAATTAATATAAAACTCTATTTTATACTATATTATTATTGTAAAAATTTATTCAAAATTCATATTAAACTCTATTTTACACTAATTATTATTGTAAAAATATATTCCAAATTCATATTTTTACTTACTTGCGTAAGTGGAGAAGACCCTAATTCATTGTTTGATTTATTACATTTATGAATTTATAAAATTTCCTGTTAAAGGTTTACCAAAATTTGAATATTAATGGTCCTTAAAATTATGGTTAAAATTTTGTTATAAATTAACAGTTATATGATTTTTTATAATAAATTAATTTTAGGCGTAAAATGTTCTTAGTTATTTATAGCTAGGTAGGTTATAAAAAGATTATTTGGAATTCTTTTAATGAGATTAAATTAAAGAATTAAGGATAATCGAGTGCAAAATATGTAAATAATTTACAACTAGTTGTTATATATCTCGAGAAACAACAAAATAATAAAGTAAATGATGATATTGAAATAATAAATGATAACCAGCTAAATCTCCTACTTCCTAAAATTATAAGGATGTTATTTAAATGCGTCGTAAAATAATCAAATTCAAATGCGTAGTTTGAAGTAATCAGTTTTACAGTTTTAAAATTAATTGATTGCGCAATTTTTAATACAAAATGAAAGTATGATTTCAGTTTTTTTGTTTTATTTTTAAATAAAACCTAATCCATTAAAATAAAAGTATATACATCTAGAGGTCTGCAAGGTAATTTTTGGCAGCCCAAGCCCGAATTTAAAAAAAAACATTTTTGTCCAAGCCCGAGCACACATTTTTTAGCCCACTCAACCCGAGCCTTAATATAATTTTAGAATTTGATTGAATATTATAATAACCAAAAAAAATTTATGTGTATTTATTCATCGCCACCTTAAATGAAAATTTATTTGACGGCCATAATCTAATCAAAATATATATTAAGCTGCATTTTATTTAATTTGTAAAAAATATTATCAAAAAATTAAAATACAATCAAATTTAACAACACATATACCCTTTTCCATATATGCGTTTAATTTCGGAAATAATTTATTGCGTATACCATCGTATCTATTAAATTTCTAGAAAATGTCGTGTGATTTGGAATCATGCTTTTAACATCAATTATTTTATCAATTTTGGAATATTAGCAACAATCAACAAGATCTTCCCCCTGAATTGTATCAAATGATTTCAAATCACGTCCACAAAACATGGTAAGCACCTTGGTACACTCTTCTTTTTTTTAATTTGGTACAACTTTTGATTTTTTGGGATCAGTAGTCAGTACCAAAAAGGCTATCAATTGTTAATTGAGTCTTTTTACTTTCTATTGTAAATACATATTTATGCCTTTTTAGTTAATTTGTGCCTAAAATAATTTAATAATATCATATATTATGTGTATAAAATATACTAACCTATTGTTATGGAATTATAAATATATGTTTGCAAAAATTGCTACTTATATAATTAAATTTTCTTTGTTTTCATTCCAAACCAAAACGAATATCGGTTCGGTTCAGGCCCGGATAAAAATAACAGTTCAAGGTTCAGGTACGGTTCGTTAAAATAAAAATATCGGTTTGGCTCGAACCTATAAAAACCGGTTTCATTTTTGTATTCAAACCTACATTCGAATTATGTATAGGGAAGTATATTTTTTTAAATTTCATAATTAAAATAAAAAACATATACATAAAACCTTCATTATTATTAATTGCACATTATAAAATAATATTTAATTTTTAAATATACATTTTAACTTTATTTAATTAAAAATTTTTAATTAAGCCGCACTTAATATATTTTCAAAATTCGTCTCAATCAAATTACATCTATAAGGAGATAATATAATTTTAAATGTTGAATAATATCTTTCCACATTAACTTGGATAGCCGGTACTGCTAGTATGATATCAAATTTGATGTGTCATTTATAATACCTATGTAAATAATTTATATATTGGATTTAATTTTTCTCTAGGCATTATAATGTATAAGCTTAAAATATTTAAAAAATATTGTAAAATGGCAATATACTAAAGTTTATAAAAATTATGACTGACACTTATCAATCAAATAATAACTTACACATTATTTTATAATCATAAAATCATGAGGCTCGAAGTGGTTCAGAGGCATTTTAGAGGTTTGGTTCAGGTTCGACTGGAAATTTTTTAGCGGTTTAGGTTCGTTAAAAATACCGGTTTTTAGCAGTTTAATGGTTCGATTCAGGTTCGGTTTGGATCCCAGGTTTTCAACATATATAAATGAAAAATTTTTCCAAACCTCAGATGCCATTGATAATTTCCCTTACTACATATTCATTGCTCTTAATCTTTCCACCAATTTTTTTAATTAAGCATCCATTGAAATAATTTTTTTAATATGAAAATTCCTATTCAGTGGCCTCTACAACGGGGGGGGGGGGTCCGAAGCAACTGCAACAGTAAATTTTAGTGGGGGTACTTCTTTTTTTTTAAATTTTCTTTATTATTTAATTCTTTTACTGTTTTGCTACATCCATCATGATCAAGTGATTTCTGGTTTATAAATGTAATAACAAGACCCCCCCCCCCAACTTAATATTTAATTTAATATATACTGACGGAAATTTTGGTCGATGTTTGGTAAATTAGGTTGTTATCCGAGATTTCTTGTCATAAATTATTTTTCCAATTTTAAAATATTAACCAAAAAAAATACAAATGCCTAATTAAATTGCAAATCGCATAATATAAGAGATGATAAATGGATAGATCACATTAGAAAGATGGTGGGCTTAATTTGAACGATATAAAGAGAAGCTTTAAAATAGTAGCTTTTAAGAATGTTACTCAAAATTGGACAAATAGCAAAGTAATTTTTTTATTAAATATTTAATTATTTACACTTATCTTATTATAAAGGGTATTAAATCGTAATTTAAGAAAAAAAGAAGTAAAAATTGGGAATTCAATTCTGTTGGTATAATAAATATTTTTAATTAATATAAAACATGAGTGGAAGAATCAATGATGTGCAAGCCTTGATTAGAGCAGAGGCGCCAAAGGCAGCTTTTATTTGGTGTTATTGTCATCGATTATATTTAATCATTGTTCAATTGTGCCAATCAATTAAAGAACTTCGAAATGTTCTAGGAATATTAGATGAGATTTATATCTATTTTTGTCAGTGTAATGATCTGAAAAAATAACGATTTCTTGAATCTTATTAGGTTCATTATTAAACATTCCTCTTATATATTTTTATTATAAATTAATGCCTTAAATAAGATTATATATTTAAAAATGCCTAAATAATTGTTTGTAATAAATTACCATTGTAAATATTATAGACTGAGTAGATATATTTCATTTTCATTGAAAATAAAATAAAATATAGATGGCAGTAAATATTTAGGTAGATAGCGACTAGATTTGCATATTTATTATTTGAATCAAATTTTTCTGTCTATAAACAATACCTAAAAACGAATCGATATTTTACTTTTCTTGTTTAGATATTGTCTACCCATTTTTTTATTATATTAACCCTACTCCAAATCTGACGAACCTTTAACCTTAGCTCTAACTCGTCCAAGAGGTTGGTTTCAGAAAAAAATTTCAAAATGGGGGTTCGAATCAGTGACTCAACACCTCCACCGGGATGTTAATCTCTTTCTACCGCACTATCGTCATTTGTTGCATCTGCGACTTATAATTATATGAAATGTGATGCAAACTGTAAATTTTAAAATTAACATGTTGTGAGTGTATTATTTATTTCTATTTTATTAAAAAAGTCTGTTTTAGTAAAATTATAATTGGCACACAATAATTGGTCCGATTATTATGATACAATCGGATTTTTTCTTAGAATATGTAAATCGTGAAACAGACTATGTAAATTTTAATTGTTTAAATTCAATATAAATAGAAAGATAGAGAATGTTAATTTGAAAAAAGTTTTTACATATTTTTTAACTTTCTAAATTGTGATTATAACTTTCCTTTTTTATCTTTGACTTTTAATTATAATTTTACTACGTTTCTGTTAAATTTTTATAATTATGTATTTTAATATTTAATTAAAAACAACGAATACTTTTTAAAATGGTGTTCAATGGGTATTCTTAATTTATGATTTAATTATGTTTTATTTTAGGTTCTTAATTTTATATTGATCAAATTTGCCATATATTGCTAATATCACTAAAATGAGTAATAATACTTAAACAGGACAGTCAAGAATAATAGTTTTCACTAAGAGAACAAAATAGTAAGCTATATTTTATCCAAATTAATCATGATTAAATTATAAAATTGCAAATTGTGAGTATAAATAAATATATCTTGATAATTAAATTACTTTCATGCCTTTAAAAATTTTTTTTGTATATGCAATAGGATCTTGTGTACCAAATAAATCATTATTTCTAAATGAGCATCCGCCAAAATCAACAATCGAATGCACCATCTATGTAAAAAAAATAGTTTATATATATATATATGTAAAAATATTTTTTTCTTAAGAGAAAATTATAAAATACTTCCAAATTTATTAAAATGATCGAATTTCAAGATTTTGCACACACAATATGGGTGATGAGCAATGTCTTAGATTTGTGGTTTGTAATTTGTTAAATTATTTCCTAGTTACAAAAAGGACATGAATCAAATCGTAGTACCTTCTTTTGTTTACCTAAAGCGATTGATATAAGAGATAAAAATTTTAGACCTTTACCATATCTCCAACTCGCAGACTGATGGTGCTGATTTGCCTGGAATCAAAAGGTTAAACACGTAATAGATCAAAAGCACTATGATGCTTTATATTATATTCATAAAAAATTACTATTATTTTTTTAATTTAACCACCAAATTTACCCTATCTCTGTGTATGTGCTTTGCCGCCAGTCTCTAATAACTCTGGTGCTGGCATTTCTTCAGAAAATAATTCCGGCCATAAAGAGAGTGCATAAACATGGAATAGTTAAGAAGCATTTACCCTCTTAGTCTAATATCAATAACTTTAAAATATTCATGAAAAAAATTTGTAGCTACTAGCTCAACAACTATTTTCTAACTGCTAATGCTGACTTGTTTCAGAAAAATGGGTCCTGCAGGGAATCGAAAACACGGGATATTTCAAATGCATTAACTTAGTCTTTTACCCATTAAACCATTTAGATGATTTAAAATATTTATTTTTAAGACCAAATTTTATTAAACTCTTTTTTTAACTAGCTTCAGAAATAAGGTCCCAAAAAATTGTTCTCGAAGGGAATCGAATTGCCGACTCTTCAATTCAAATGATATCTCTCAACCTACTGACCCACCCGTTGTCATTAAAAAACGATTTTATTTTATATTATAAATTATTTAAAACCCCAAATAATTTTAATTAAAACAATTCCTTTTTCAGTCTCAAACTGTAAATAACATTACCTCATTACTTCACGTATGTGCATGATAATTTATAAAAATTTGTTGGAAAACAGTGCATAATTATTTTAGTTTCATCCGTATGCATATGTCGTATTGGAATATGGAATTCATGGGGATTTGAAATCTCTCAATTTTAAATTTTATTGAAAGCTTTTTGAATTTAAATTATTATATTTGATCGGAAATGTATTCCTGCATATGCAGAGTACCCACACTGTAAATTTCAGATAATTTTTCCGATAATTTAAGTATTTTTTTTATTTATATAAAAAAATTAATATACAATAAAAATATCAAGCCAAGATTTCCTGAAATTCTCAGTATAGGTACTCCGTACATACTAGAATATATTTCTGATCAAATCCAATTTTTATTTAAAAATCGTCCTCAGTAAAGATGAAAGATTCAAAATCCCCACAAATTCCATATCCCAATACATCATGTATATCGCTAACTATTTTTTTAATATATAAATAAAATTTAAATATTATAATTTCATATGTTAATCTAAAATATTTTGGAAGGAATTATTCACAAAGTAAAAAAATAAACACTTCATTCAAAAGTCTTTACAATATAATTTATTTAACGCATGTATTTTAACTGAAATCTTCAATGTAAAAAGATAGTAATTTTTCCGCTATTTTGAAAGTATATTTTAAAAAAAATACTTATATTTTGGTTAAGGTATTTTGTCCATCCCTATATATTTCAATATCGAAAATATTTAAGAACAATTAAAAAAAATAAAATATCAGGTTGATCCGATATTTAAAAATTGTACATTCCTAATTATTTTATTAACCATAAATTTATTAATATCCTCACAAATATAAAAGATTACAAATAAAAAAATATAATAAATTCATGGTTTAAATTTAAAAAAAATTTACTTTAATATATTTTTCAATAAATCCATGTTTCCGTAAAATTTTTATTAGACCAGTAATGTCGTTGTTAGGAAGCCTTTCATAACATAGTGCATATAATAATACCAATTTCAAAAGATCCACTTCTTTGATTTTATCATTATTTAATGCATTTTTTATCTCCTATTATATTATATTGGATATTTTTATATTATTTATCATATATAACTTGTAAATCTTTTAGGTGATCAGTTGACCCACAAGCTAAACTTTGCTCTATCTCAGATAATTTCAAAATTTCAAAATTAGAGATCAATCTTGATAATTCCGTCAAAAGGGTCACGTGTTTTGAAATTTTACCAGATAATTTTTTAAAATGAGGATAGTTTTCAATGAAGGCCTTAAATTATAAAATTCAATTTGTGTAATATAATATTTAAAAAAAAAAATTATACAATTAAACTTCAAATTAATACACATTGATGAGTTTTAAACAGTCTAAAGTAAATCTCCAACGAATTGATAGATTTTGAACGTGTCTATATTAGAGGTCTGCAGTTGACGGTTTCTTATAGGAGCTAAAATATTTTAAACATTGGGCGGGTGAGCGGCAAGGATCCAATCCGAAACGAATATCGGTTCGGTTTAGTTTCAGGTAAGGATAAAAATAACGGTTCAAGGTTCAGATTCGGTTCGTAAAAAATAAAAATATCGGTTCAGTTTGAACCTCTAAAAACCGGTTTTAACACTTTTATATTCAAACCTACATTCGAATTATTTATATGGAAGAATATTTTTTTTTATTTCATCATTCAAATAAAAGACATACATAAAACCTTCATTTTTATTAATTGTAGATTATAAAATATTTAATTTATACATATAACAAATAATGGCCGGAATGGCCTAGTGGGTTTATGATGTATACTTGGAAGCCGAAGGTACCAGGTTCAATCCTGATAAGGAACTGTAAAAATTTTCAGGTTTTTCTTCGATGACTGATGTGTAAAGACATATGATAAGATAAATTTCTGAGCTTAGAAATGGCACCCCGGTCACCGATAGGCTTGGACAGCTGGGTGCTAGGATAATTGTCCAATAAACCAAATGGAAGATGACCAGCTCTAAGATAATAGTGACCTTGTGGACCATTCAAGGATGATAGCGATCTCTTAACCAGCTCTAGGATAATGGTGACCTCGTGGGCAACAATCTACAATGGACTTGATAACGATACTCCGGTGGGAGATCAACGGTGGGAGATAAAGCTTACAATGGAATCGATAAGAATACTCTGGTAGGATATCTGTCGATATTGATAATCCGGTGTAGATCAAGATACAATGGCCTAGATAGCGATACTCATGAAGATCCATTGAGATTGATACTCCAGTGGGAGATCAAGTTTATAATGGAATCGATAAGAATACTCAGGTGGGATATCAGAAATATAAATTCGATAAAAAGAGATAGCATGAATATCATAAAGTGGAGAGAAATATTGAAGGACTCACCAATAGAAAAAGTTGAAAAAAAATATATAACAAAAAATAAATATCAATCATCAATTTTAATATGAACAATATTTAACTTTATTTACTTAAAAAAAATTTTATTAAGCCGCACCATTAATATATTTTCAAGATTCTTCAAACTCAAATTACATCTATATGGAGATAGTATAAATTTAATTATTGAAAAACATCTTTCCACATTAACTTGGGTAGCCGGCACTGCTAGTATGATATCATTCTGAGTATCGATACTCTGATTTCTCCAATAATCTAAAATATTTATATTTTTATTTAACCTAGGTTCTTTAGAAAAATTAATTAAATATTTCTAATATTCTCCTATTTTTGTAACAGCTTTTGTTTGTTACCATCTTTTTTTAAGAAGACTTTCTACTAGATCTTCTTCAAATGAAGATACATTAACAGGCGTTGATTCATCTTCACTAGAATCCTCCAATCAACAAATTTTAATTCCATGTTATGCCATATTTTAATAACATGCTCTCTAGCCGGTTATTCCTTCTTCATTCAAAAGCACTTGATATCTATATAATAAAAATTAAAAATATATTATTTTTTATGAATAGATAAAAGATTATATAAAGTAAAATAAAATTATTATTTAAGGTAAATAAAATTATTAATTAAATTTATATAAGATATAATATAATATTTTTAAAACATACCTTAAATCTAGATATAAGCATGACAAAAGGGCATTGTTAAAAATTGTTTTTTCTAAAATTCATAGCATCTATTATTAAACCAGCAAAGGGTGAAGGAAATTTCTAATTTAGCTTTTAGCCATATGCCATAAAAATCCCCTACAGTTAGCTGCTCAAGTTGTACGTTCTTGATAGCTACTTTAATTGGTTTTAGGATATTTAACAACCCTATAATTGCTTACCATTCCCAAAGTTGTAAAATAAAGTTCACTGTATGATACTGATAATTCCTCTCACATATTTTTTAATTTATTCAATCTCTCTAGCATGTCATAGGTTGATAACCATCTGTGACAATCCAATATAGGACTTTTTAAGTTTAATTTTTTTTAGTATGATTGATATCGATTTTGTCCTTAGCTTCTTGCAGGCAGTAGGAGCTTTAATAATAATATTAGAAACTGAGCAATTTTTTAATGCATGATCTACCGTAAGTTGTAAGGTATGAGAAACACATCTTATATAATATTATATTGAGAATCATTAAGATTGATTGTTAATTCATCAAATACTGTGAAACTAGTAGAAACATCATTCAAATTATCTACATTTTGCATTTATTCTTCATCCTTTTCAGACATTTGATTGTCATCATCACTATCCTCCATAAATATTTACCATCTTAATAAGATTTGCCTCATTTTAAATTGTTATAGTTTATATATGTGAAGTTTTTTGATTTCATAATCGTTTAATACTTTAATTGAAGTGGGTTTTAAATTTTCTGCAGTTGGCCATTCAAAAATTTCTTTCATAGTGTTCTCAGAAAAAATTTTTTTTGAATACACTGAAGATTAATCCCAATAATGGACCGTCAATTTTTAGAGATAATAACTTATTTATTTTTTTTATTTTATTTTGCTGAATACTTAAGGCTAATTCTGCAACACTAGATTGAATATTTGAAAATTAATTTTAACATTACCCATGCCTTCTAATATAGGATCAAGAATTTTTTTAAATACCGCTATCATCGATTAATTTGAATGTCCTGCCATTAAAAGTGACCAACTTAGTACAAGCATCAATTATTATTTTTTACTTAGTTTTACTGATATTGTTTGTTCTTTTAATACTTCTTCCATCGTCTGTTGGTTTGATGACATCTTAAACTTTTTTATTTTATTAGGCTTTTGTTGTGATATTTTGTTAATTTTATCGAATTCTTGAGTGTGGTTTCTTTTTATGTGACGCTCAAGATTTGCTCCCTGATGGCCTTTCATATTTATTTGACAATCAGTAATTACATTTTGATGTGTCATTTATAATACTATGTAAATAATTTATATATTGGATTTAATTTTTCTTTAGGCATTATAATTTATAAGCTTAAAATATTTAATATGTTGTAAAATGGCAATATACTAAAGTTTATAAAAATTAAGACTGATACTTATCAATCAAATGTGATTGATAATAATCTTTAAAATAATTCGAATATAATTAAAATTTTTGCAATCCGGTTCAGATGCATTTTAGTGGTTCGGTTAATTTTCGGGTAGAAAATTTTTAGCGGTTTAGGTTCAATAAAAATACCGGTTTTAGCGGTTTAATGGTTAGGTTCAGGTTCGGTTTGGATCACTGGTGAACGAGTGGGTTAAAAAATATTTTTAAAACAATAACAAGGTGAATTTGTAATATTTTTTGAACGAATATAGCAGAATAGACTTTTATTTAATCGGCCCACGTATTGGATTTGTTTTTAGTATTCGTATTCGTGCGAATAATAGAATTTACAATTTATTCATTAGAATTATTAGAATAATTTAATTTTAAAGATAAAAAATTATAATGATCTGATGATTTAAAACATATGATCAAGTTATTAACAAAATTAAAATACATATTATTTTAATTTATAATGCCAAGCCAATTTTTAAGACAAAGAGTTTATCTTTTTGTTTCTTCGACATAATTTTTGGCAGCAAATTAGTTCCAACTAAGAAATTAAGTTTTTCACAAGTGTTTTACCGGGGCTAGGCATATATTTTTTTGAGGGTCACAGTCCGGACCGGTCTTTTTATTTTTTCGGACATGACCGTTATGTGTTTGTTAATTTTTCTATTTTAGTTTTTGTAAATTTTTGGTTCATTTTTATTTTGCAATATGAAACCCGTAAGTTAGTCAAAGAAGCATTTTACGAAAATAAGAAATATTCATTTCCCAGCCCACAGGTTGGCAGGTTGAGTATTGCAGACCCTATAATCTTCATGACCTAAAATTTGTTATGTATGAATAACTTGGCCAGTTAAATATTTTCTAATTTCTTCCGTCCCGGAGCAGATGTCTTTCCAGTATATATAGAATACCTCTTCTGTACATTTCAGACAATTTCGCAAATAATTTTTGTGTACTTGTAATTTATACGAAAAATCTATAAATAAAATTATTATGTTCAAAAGTTCGACAAAATGCTTCTGACAAAATAAGGTCTTTCAAAATTAAAAAAAAAAGGCGCTATATTCATTTAAATTTTATATATATGTTAAATCCCTACTAAAGAAATCATTTAAGTAGGTAGTGAGCGTAGAAAGTCATGATATTTTATTTTTAGGGGCACCAATTTATTCTGCATTCAGAGTTATCGCGAATTCGCGGCCAAGTATACAAATATGTTGCCGCAAATTTTGTATACTTCGCGGCGAATACAGTATGACTATTTATCGAATACTATAAGGTTTAAAATTGCTTTTATGTTAAAAAAGTAACATCAGGCTTGATAATCAATTCTTTTAAAAATCGTGTCAAATCAAATTTCGATAAAAATTTGTAGGCACTTTAGGTATCACGTCAATTCGGCGCAACATCAATTCAGCGCAGCGACAATTCGGCGCCTATCTAAAACAGTTGCAATTTATTATTATAAAACAAAAGGATCATTTAATAGAAGTCATGTTGAGGGTTAAAATCAAAAGAAATTATTTTAATAAACAAATATTTATACTCTGATTTTTTTGGTGGACCAATTTACCATGTTAAAAGATATGTTGATCCAAAAAAATTATAATTATTTTTTAAAAGTAAGGAATTAACAAAAGGGAAATCTTATGTACTGTTGTTAAACGGCATATTTTGAGCTGATTTTAAAATCAGCTAACTTAATAATTTATTGAAAAATATTATTGCAAGCCTTAAGATTTTGCTCATAGGTGGTATAACGGTTTGAAAACTATTAATGAAATCTCGAGGTTTAGACAATATTTTTCTGGCTAAAATATTGAGTTAGCCGTTTTTAAGAATCGGATCAAATCGAGCCGTATAACAACACTAGTCTCATACTAGAGGTTGAATTTTCCAATCATATCCAACGATTGTATTAATTTAAAAAATAATTATTGACTTAAATATAGTTTTTCATTTAAGACTCTCATTTTACAGATTTAATAAAAAATCCTTAAAATAATTCTATTAATCATAAAAAATAAATGTTATTTTTAAATCAGGGGTACGAACCGAACCTCGAAACCAGAACGAACCGTTATAATTTTCTGAACCGCAACTGAACTTTTATAAAAAAAATGTAAAAAGAGCGAATCGAACTGTTATAAATATTCTTGAACTGATTTAAACCAGTTCACAACGGTTTTCAAGAATAATTAATTTTAAATTAGTAACCTAAATTTGAAATTTTAATTTTTCTTGGGGGCAATTTAAATTCGTGTTTTCTTTTCAAATTACAATTTTTTATACTTAGCTATTATCTTCATATTAATAAATACCAAGTTTATTGTTTTTACTTTATATATTCAATTTAATATAGATTAGGCAAATTACTAGTTAATTAGATAAGAAATAATCTTTAACTAAAATAAATAAGGAATTATAAAAATATTAAAAAAAAATTTCTCTAAGATAAGATATATATAATATATGATTAATTTTTTTAAAAATCAAATTTATAAAAACAGGAACGAACCGAAAAGAACCATTATAGATTCCGAACCGAATCCTTATGACATTCTTCAAAAAAAACCAAAATGCAAAATCTTTATAAAATTTTAAACTAAAATCGAAACAAACCGAACCGTCATACTTAATTCAAAACATTCTTTTGTTTTATACTAATAAATTTAAAACAAATTGCAACTGTATTAGATACTCGTCAAATTTTCGTCGCGCTGAATTGACGCCTCGTCCAATTTTCAGCGCCGATTTGTCGTGCGTCGAATTTTCCGCACCGAATTGACGTGGAACCGTTATCAATATAGATTCTTTATTATAACTAATTTAATTTTTAATTTAAAAATAATTATTTAACATTAGTAAAAGGTTTTAAAAAAATCGATTTTTGTACCTTTAATTCATATTATCTCAGGTAATATAATTGATCAGAAAACTTCGTATCAGATATTACTAGTACATTTATAAATCGTGCGCAAAATTTTCCGCGCCGAATTGACGTGATAAGTCAAAAATTTATTAAGGGAAAAACATTAAAATTAAATTTTTTTATAATATTGGTCATCTTATGTAAAATATAAAATTAATTTCGAAACGATTATGAACTTCAATTATATAATTTATATGCGTATTTTTTTTGAACCCCAATCGCCTAAAGTAATTATAAGAAAAAAAGCGGGATATATATATTTATGTGTATATTTTGTAGAGTCAATCCGACTGATTTTTTCAATTACTCTCGTGAACATCTAAATGTGTTCAATTAAATAACAAAACATTTGTTCAATTGCTCTCGTGAACATGTAAATGTGTTCAATTAAATAAGTGTGGTGCTTTACACCTATGTGTTAGCATACATTATTATTATAAAAAGAAATTTCCTATCTTAAAAAATAATCAGTGTAAACTAGGGGTGGCCAATTTTAATCAATTTGTTTTAAATCGCGATTTAAATCATGGCGATTTTTTTAAAAAATTAATGATTTAAATCAAATTTTAAAATAATGAAAGATAAGGACTTAAATAAGCAAAATCTAAATTAAATAACTAAATTGCACTAGTAATCACCATATGTTGGACAAAAAAGCTTATTTTCAATTTCAATTTTTGAACAGTAGAAAAATAACTGCTGATCCAAATTGCAATAGTGAAAAATTATAATATTCTAATAAAACGAAACTAATATTAAAAATCTATACTTTTAAAATTTTTTTTATTTCTTTATAATAAAAAAAATAATCAATTAGTTTGTAAAATTAAGAAAAAACATATATTAAAAAACACAAGCAATATCTATATCGTCGACATTGTTATTAGAATTTAATTGCTTAAATAAAAAAAAATGACTTCCGGCCTTTTCTGTTCCTAACGGATTTCTAAGCTTCGAGTGAACAACTGGAAAAGATGATATACTCTCAACTGAACCGGATAATGAAGATGCAGTTAGTTGTTTTATTATTTTTAGAATATTTACATCCTTCATCAAATTTCCTTGGGCCACCCACCATTCAATTGGGTCTACTTTATTTACTATATTATCTGAAAACATTATTTTAGAAAATAGCTCAGATCTTGCTTGAAGCTTTATCAAGATAGATAAAATGTCAGTGGTTGGACACAGAAGTCATCCTCCCCCTTCCATTGCCGTTTTCAATTCCTTGGTTGTTAGATTTGAACGATATTTTGGGTTTAAAAGTAGGATGTGTGCAGAAGTTAGAGCTTTTTAGTAAAGGATGAAAGTTGATTACTACCTATTTTTTTATTAACATGCAAGGTGGTGAAAACCATTTGGGGTTTTAAATTGGGCTAATTCTTACAGGTTAATAAATAGCAATAGGTAATTTTAGTTTGAAAAAATTTAATTTCATTTGGCATTTGTATTTGAATCAGAATATTCTACAATAAATTTATTTTAACAAACAATTGATGGTTAAACTTTTTAAAAATAACTATATTAAATATCATCGGCTCTTTGAAAAAAATTTCAAATTATAACATATCATTATTTAATTATTCCAATTTCCTGACTTGTTCCCTTGAGCATTAGTTCTTTAATTTTTTAAAAAAGATATTTTACAATCTTATTAGCCCATATTTATTTCTTCAATTAAAATTTGATTTTTATTTGGTTTAAATCGCGATTTAAATTTTAAAAAATCGATTTTTTTGATTTAAAAAAAAAGAGGTATATCAAATGCACAGCCGTAAAAAAAATAGGCCTAGTCCGGGTATTTTTTTTAAAAAAAATTTATTTTGTTTGATTGACTAAAAATAAAAATTTTAATATTTAATCTGGCCCAAGATGACTTGGAAAAATGTGATAGCGGCGGGTATGAGAAGCATAAATCTTACAAATATTGATGCTCAGGACCGTCAAAAATGGAAAAGAAAAATCAGCCGGAAAACTGGCCTACCCGGGTAAACCTGGAAATCGCCATAAAACGGAGAAGATTTTATTCATCTAGTAGAGTAAAAGAATATAAGCTAAATTTAAATTATGTAATTGGTTATATGGTAAGTTATTTTCTAATATTTTAAAAAATTTAATAATCTATATATAAAAAATTACCTACATATTAGTTGGATTTGGTTTTATTATATCTTAAAAATTATAAATTAGTTTCAAAAATTAATAACTATTTTATTTACTTAGTATAGTTGTATGGTAGAGTATATAAGAACTAATTAAAATTGAGTGATTTGACTAAAAATTAAAATTATTATAATTAGCGAATAATATAAAAAAATTTCAATTTCCCTTTATAAACTAGTTAGGTAATTTCTAATGAGATATAAATGGCTTTGAAATGAAAATACGAGAAATGAATGTATGTGATATATCATTCTTATGATACAATTCAAGAATATATTATATTTAATTATATATAATAATTATCAAGTTTCAACATATTAGGCACAATCCGTTTTTATAGAAAGAAAGGCCCGGGCTAGCTTGTTGAAAAAATCAATGTTCAGGCTCGGCCCGTATAACTGGGCCTGACTTTGAACTAGGCCTGCACTTTAATATTATCAAGGTGAGAGAAAAAAACATTAATATATAAACATACTTTCATGTCTGATATAGATTCAACTTTTTGCTGGCATTGAGATTTTTTTTGAAAGTGTTCCATCAAAATTTTTATATTTTGACTAATTTCTCCAAAATTAAGGTACATATTCTGTATTAAATGATATAAAAATTAAATTAGAAAAAATAACTAAATAAACCAAAGGAAAAATAAATAACTTAAAAGGATGATTTAAAAAAATTACTTTTCCGATTTTATTTAAACATATAAATTGACGATATTATGAAAGAAAACAATAATTCTTAATGAACATAAGTCCGTTCCGCTAATTTTGCCTAAAAAATATTTTAAATTTACCCGACGACCAGTTATTTTAAAAATATTTTTAACCCCCCCCCCCACCCAATATTTAAACTTTTTAACCAATCCATTGCAAAATTCTACTAAGCGGCCTGTAATTGATGCAATTTTCCTGAAGATTTCAAGGAATGTAAGATGTAAGAGAAAATTGTAATTTGCTAAGCAAAGCTTCCATCATCTTATTTTGGGATAACTAGCCCTCAAGCATTGTTTCTCTCCTTGGCCGCTGGACAGCGTTTCTATCGACGCGAGAAATGATGGAAACATTTCGATGTTTAAGCAAATAATCGTGATCATGACCAAAAATTAATAGTTAAATTTTTATGTCTTACTGGGATTATGATCACAATGTCATTACATTGAAATCATACTAAATAAAAATATCTAATTCTACCTATTTTGCCAAAATAATGAATAAAGATTAAATTCATAGGTTGTATTCTAAATAAAATTATACTTTGATATTTTTTAATAAAAAAAACTTAAAAATATTTTACTTGAGAATAAAAACCATCATGCTCAGCTGAAAGTACGATTTCTTTAAGATTTTTAGGAACTCCAGGAGCTGTTTTTAAGTTTACTCTATTATTATAGATGCCAATCAAGTCGTGAACCATGGCTTGATATGTCCACTTTATATTTTAGTATGCATAAACATAATTTTTTTTAATTTAAATCATGAAAATGTTAATATTTGAACAAATTTTATAGAAAAAGTTGTGTAAAACTTAATACATTTTCGTAAATATAAAATAAAAATACTTCCACTAATATAAATGCTATATTATGAAAACTGGAAAATTAATAAAATTAAGGAAAAAATAATCATTTATATAAGTTTGATACTTATATTAATAATATAATAGTTGAGCTAACTAAAATTCCTTATTCTTATCTTCTTATACAATTTGTTATCATGCTTTTTTGGAGTTCGCAAATAAAAATTTATTTGTGAAACTTATTTCTAATCCTGATTCATAGGCGAAGTAAAGAGAGAAGAGAAAAATCCCCCTTTAGCCTTATTGAAGTTTTTATAAATGTAATAAGTTAATGAAAACTCCCTATATTCCTCCCGCCCCTTTAAAAAATGAATTCAATGTGATTATCAGAGTTTTTAAAGTAGCTCGCTATCTTTTTTGATAGCTATAGCTAATAGCGGGCTACTTTTTCCAATTATTTATTTTTTTAGCGCGCTCCTTTTTTGGATTTAAAAATATAATGGATGTAACTATGAACAAATATAATATCATAATTAATTATAATTTTTATAATTTATTATTATTTAAAATTTATGTTTTCAATTTGTAATGTAATTTATATATTCAATTTGTATTATAAATATCTGGTGTAAATTATTAAAAATTTCTTCGCAAATGTATATCCAAATCGATGTAAGTGAGTCAGACAATTAAGATATTAATGAAATAGAAAGCACCCTAAAAGAAAATATCTTTGATAAAAATAATACAAATTTTTCATTTCAAAAATTTGAAAATATTTTCAAATTAATGTAAAAACAAAAAGTGGGTTAAATGTTTGTTCAAACTGTAAAAAAATATATCCTCAAATGTAGTGGTTATTAGAGGTGGGCGCGGGCAGTGAAATTACGAGTGACCCATCGTGTCATGGTGGGTCACGGCGTGAGTGTGAATAAATTTTAAATTATTAGGCGTGATGAGTCTCCCCAAAATTTTTACCGGGCGTGAACCGTCGTGAACATAAATTTCCCGTGAATCACAAATTTTAATTTTTGTGGTTGTTTTTATAAATCAACCCTATTTCCGATCTCTGTAAAGCAGAAGAATTGGGATTTACCACTTGTGAAAAACTCCGTTGATTACCTTATTTCGAGTCTCTCACCACTGGCTGGATACACATTTATTGAACTTATCAAAGATCGAGGATATGAATTTTTAGATGTTATTCCATCTACCAATCTCAAACTCGAATTGGACAACCATGAGCTCGGCTATGCTTTATATATCAGGCTCAACATTCCCTTTTCATTACCATATAAATGCAGCAAATGTCATACTGATGATAACAATATGGCGCTGCATCCTTTACATTGTAATCGTAATCCCAGTCGACAAACTCGACACTTGAAATGCAATCAAATTATATCTCTTGCACTTAGGTCAGCTGGTTTTCCTATCTCAGTGGAGCCTTCTGGCTTATTTTCCGATAGTAGACGTCCTGATGGGGTCACACGTATCCCATGGTCGCAAGGAAAGTTTTTAATATGGGATTCTTGTCTGGATACTAACTCCCCCTCTAATTTTAACAAGGACGCTCTAAACAGAGCTCAAAATTTTAAGATCAGCAACTACAGCGCTGATTCCTCAAATTACATATTCATACCATTTGCTCCACCTTAACTACATATATGATGATTTGCCTAAAAACTCTTTTAAAGACGTTGGCCGCCTAATCAGAAAAAATTCTAATTTTTAAAGGGATCATGACTATCCGGGATCTTCAAGGGATTTTAAGGGATAACTAAAAAATAAGGGTTTTAAGTTAAGGAATGATAATACGGTATTATCACGTTTTAATCGTGATAAAGAGGAATCTTATTTTAAAAGCGTTTTCCACGCGTTTCGTTGCGTTTTTTAATTTTATTGTTATTCATTAATTTCCAATGTTGTTTTTTTGGCCTTATGATATAAGATATGTCTAATATAGGGTATCAATCGATAGCTAATCAAAAGATCTATTCAACTGGAGGTCAATCTCCCCCATAATGGGCGGGTCTAGGTCTTGGGGGGTCAGAAATATTTTTATCAACACAAAATATCGATATGGGTATCAAATAACAGCTAATTTTAATATGGTTTGACTAAAAGTCTTCATTCTTGGTCTTGATGGGTATGACTTGGTCTGGGGAATGGAGGTAGAGGGGGTGTAAAATAACTATTTTTGATATGGGTATTAAATAAAGCTAATTTTAATATCGTTTGACTGAAAGTCTTCATTCTTGGTCTTGATGGGTATGACTTGATCTGGGGTGGAAGGAAGGGGGGGGGTAGGTATATTTTTATCAACACAAAATATCTATTTGGGTATCAAATAAAAGCTAATTTTAATATCTTTAGCTGAAAGTCTTCATTTTTTGTCTTGATGGGTATGACTGTCAGGCCCTCAACATATTAACAAAATATCTAGTTGGATAGAATTTACAGAAATAATAGAGAATGAAGATAAAACAATTTTTTTAATCTTTTTTCGGTTCCAATCCTGAACTTAAAATTTATAATTTGCAGTGTTCTATATTTAAGGCGTTATTTCATAGCTATTTTTTTTAGTTCGATAGCTTTAGCGGAGATAGCGGTAGCTCGTTACCAAATAAATAGAAAAAATTATTATAATAATTTTATAATTAATTCTAAAATCATAATCTTTTTATTTTATCTGTACCATAATTATTTTCATTATCAATGTCTACTGTCGACATTTAAAAATTATTTTTTTTTTGAAAAATATATTTACAATGCATATTTTAAAATGTAAATTTATATAAATAAAATAAAAAGTTATGATTTTAGAAATTAATTATAAAATTTTTATAATAATTTTTGCAATTTATTTAGTAACGAGCTTTTTTTAAAGAAATGACCCATCAAGACAAAAAATAAATATTTTCAATCTAAAGATATTTAAATTAGCTTTTATTTGATACCCATATCAAAAAAAATTATTTTTTACACCCCCACCCCCTCCCCTCAGACCAAGTCATAATAATCAAGAACAAGAATAAAGAATTTCAGTCAAACCATATTAAAATTAGTTTTTATTTGATACCCATATCAAAAAAATTAATTTTTACACAGCCCCCTCCACCCCCCCCCAGACCAAGTCATACCCATCAATACCAAGAATATAGACTTTCAGTCAAACCATATTAAAATTAGCTTTTATTTTATGCCCATATCAAAAAAAATTATTTTTTATACCCCCCCCCCCACCTTCACACCCCAGAAAAATCATTCCCATCAAGAATAAGAATGAAGACTCTCATTCAAACCATATTAAAATTAGCTTTTATTTGATGGCCATATCAAAAAAAATTTTACACCCCTCCCCCACCCCCACCCCTCCAGACCAAGTCATACCTATCAAACCAAGAATGAAGACTTTCAGTCAAACCATATTAAAATTAGCTTTTATTTGATACCCATATCAAAAAAAAATTATTTTTTACACCCCCACCCCCTCCCCTCAGACCAAGTCATAATAATCAAGACCAAGAATAAAGAATTTCAGTCAAACCATATTAAAATTAGTTTTTATTTGATACCCATATCAAAAAAATTAATTTTTACACACCCCCACCCACCTCCCAGACCAAGTCATACCCATCAAAACCAAGAATAAAGAATTTCAGTCAAACCATATTAAAATTAGCTTTTATTTGATACCCATATCAAAAAAAAATATTTTTACAACCCCCCTCCACCCCCCCCCAGACCAAGTCATACCCATCAATACCAAGAATATAGACTTTCAGTCAAACCATATTAAAATTAGCTTTTATTTTATGCCCATATCAAAAAAAATTATTTTTTATACCCTCCCCCCCCACCTTCACACCCCAGACCATCATTCCCATCAAGAATAAGAATGAAGACTCTCATTCAAACCATATTAAAATTAGCTTTTATTTGATGGCCATATCAAAAAAAATTTTACACCCCTCCCCCCACCCCTCCAGACCAAGTCATACCTATCAAACCAAGAATGAAGACTTTCAGTCAAACCATATTAAAATTAGCTTTTATTTGATACCCATATCAAAAAAAAATATTTTTTACACCTCCCCCATCCCCCAGACCAAGTCATACCCATCAAGACCAAAAATGAAGACTTTCGGTCAAAACATATTAAAATTAGCTTTTATTTGATACCCATATCAAAAAAAATTATTTTTTACACACCCCCCCCCCCTCACCCCCATCCCCAGACCAAGTCATACCCAACAAGACCATGAATGAAGACTTTCAGTCAAACCATATTAAAATTAGCTTTATTTGATACTCATATCGATATTTTGTGTTGATAAAAATATTTCTGACCCCCCAAGACCTAGACCCGCCCACTATGGGGGAGTTGACCTCCAGTTGAATAGATCTTTTGATTAGCTATCGATTGATACCCTATATTAGACATATCTTATTTCATAAACCAAAAAAAACAACATTGAAAATTAATGAATAACAATAAAATTAAAAAACGCAACGAAACGCGTGGAAAACGCTTTTAAAATAAGATTCCTCTTTATCACGATAAAAACGTGATAATGCCGTATAGTTCTTTATCCTTTAAAAAATTGAAATTTTAAAGGGATCCCTTTAAATCCCGTGAAGATCCCAGATAGTTGTGATCCCTTTAAAAATTACGACATATATTTTTTAATTTAATTTAGTTCTTTTTTTAAAAAGAATAATTTTTGAAAACAAAAAATCTTCCGCATTTTATATACAACATCCGGTATCATGCCGCTTGTTATACTTTCTTTTTATGTAAAGCTGTTTTGTTGCGAGACTTTTTGCTAAATTTTGCTTAAACTTTTTACAGAAAAGTCAGTTATATTTTATTTGTAAAGACTTCGACTTTTAAATGCAACAGAAAGTGA